GAGAGGGTTGACAGATTTTTCCAAAGATGAAAAAGGAAAAGGTAAACTAATGAATAATTACCTGGTGCTTGAAACGGACTACTAGTTTAGCACTAGTGTAGCCAACAACTAGGCCAATTTCTTTATTTCATGGCTGCTCCTGACCAATACTACATTGCCCGGTGGTCAGTCTTCTGGCAAACTTTACCTTTTCAGAGAGACGTTTTAGTTCATTGAACTTTACCTTATCAGAGAAAGATATTATAGTTCCCTCTACTTATTAAACTCATTATGGTTAGTCATCAACAACAGATGATACTGCTTTTTAAGGTTTTTTTGTATTTTTGGATGAGTTCAGGATCGTATTTGGCAGTTGAAACGATTACGCAACAGTATTGGATTTTGCGAGCAGTACTTTTATTCCCTGTAAACCGGCTTTTTTAAAACGCGTCTTAGATATAGTTCTTTGCCAGCAATTCGAAATCAGCTATCAGTTTTGGGTCAGTAACCTTTGCTTTTTTTGACCTCAGTATGAGACAGTGAAACAAAAAAAGTTATTTATTTACTATTCCTTCTGTACTTCAAAGTAATACAAAGTTTTACAAAGTTTCAAAGTAATACAAAGTTTTTTTTAGGGCCAAAAACAAGCAAATACTTGTGACGGAGTTCAAGTCATCAATTTTTCAAGCGAAATTATCCGAATAGATCATACAGATACATACATGTATTAATTGCGTAAGCATTCCAATAAAGCGAAAAAGATGAGAAAATTAAGTAGACCGGTGCCATCTTTACCAAAAACACCGAGAGTTCCCTGGCAATCAATTTGGATATCGGTTTTGTTTTTAATTGTGTTTTGTTTATTTCTCACGTATCTTATTTAAGAAGAACCCATAACTATGAAAAACACCAGTTTTAAGGAAGATGCTAGGAAGAATACGTAACTATATAATATCAAACGAGCATTACTGTTATATTTTACAATGTTTATCAAAGAGATGGCACACATACATCGAGCAGAGGACTGGCTAGAGCCAGAGATAAGCAGTCCAGGAGTGAAAAGTATTAGCTGAACCCAATTTTTGAAAGTGTTTCAGTAACATCGCTAACATGAAATAACCATACTGACTGTACAAACACTCACAGTATCACATGATGCTAGTCTTACATAGGTACATTAGTGTGTTTTTTGGCGTTTCAAGTATCAAGTGAGTGTGCTTCTTTTGGTAAAATTCCCGTCAGTGATTGCAGTATGCTGGATGTAGCGCGGCAAGTTCCTGGACTGTCTGCTCGTCGATATTCTCGAATAAATTGGCCAAGCCATTTCGTCGAGTGAGTAAAAATAATTGCGGCTTA